CTCGGTTCAATTGACACCACCAATCCAATACGACTTATTAAAGTTTTTCCATCGATCTCTTTTTCTAATTTTTATGGGGTTAAATTCGATAAATTTCATTTGAGATCATTGAGCTTTTGACGAAATTTGAATTGAGTTACTAAACTTAGTTTTAGCCCTGATCGAAAATCCTTGTCCCATTGGAAAAATGCAAGACGGGGCAAGACATTTTACCCTTCCTAGGCTAAACCATATTATACCTCCTTAATTTATATAGGTTTAAAATGAACGAAATGTATAAAGAAGAATTAGAACGATCTTAAAATATTAAATATAAATAAAGTAGTTTGTAGACACTCGGAAGCACAAATTTACATTTGATAATAAGGGTCCGTTTGATTGCAATTGTGGAAAATGGGTGGAAAGAAAATGAATTTCAGAGAAAGTAATTGTCTAAAAATTATTTTATAGGGAATTGTTAATTAAGTTTGTTTGATTGGTATGATTTTTCACCCGAATTTTTTTTAAATTTTGTGTTCGTTTGACTTTGTTTTACGTGAAAATTTTTCATTAAAGTGATAAATTTTTTCCACAATTGGTTATAAAATTTGTTTCCATTACTAAAAAGTAAAAAAAAAAAAAAAAAAAATCATTTTTTTAATCAAAGTTTAGTGCTCATTTTAATTTTTTTTNAAATAAGAAAATTAAAAAATTAAAAAAAATGAAAACCTGGAATTCAGTTTTCCCACCAAAAAGGTGGGAAAATCATTTCATGAATTAAATGGAAAATGGGCGCGTGAGCCGTGAGGTGGTGTGAAAGAAAACATTTGGGTGACCAAATTTTGTACATAAAACACCACCTTTTGTGGAAGTTGGAATTTCATTTCCATTTTCCTAGGCAAATTTGGTACATCAAACACTATCTAACTATAAAATCATGAGAGTTATAGTTGCAAAATTATACTGCTAAATAGTTGAAAGCAATAATATGCTCGCCCGACTCCTCTATTGAACAGACAACCATAGGATCGGACTTGGCCAAACGTTTCAAACCCTCAACAAGCTTGGGCAGGTCAGAAGCAACCTTGCATTGAACAGCAACACGCACAACGGGTGAAACAAAGAATGTCGTTGCTCTAATTTGATGAGCATCAACTTTCTTCTCATTGGTTAGTGTTGCATTCTTAGTAATATATTGATCAAGACCAACCATAGCTACTGTATTCCCACACGGTACATCCTCCACAGTTTCCTATTTCTTGTGATAACAATATAAATCAATAGTCATCAATCAAGGGATTCTCATCCAATTACAGATAGAGACAAAGAAGGAATTTGCACCAGTCAAGGGATTATCATTCCATGTGTTTTCTTGTTTCCTTTTATGTGTAATCCGTTTCCATTCATATGCTTTTGAAATCTGTATATATACTCTGTGTATCAATGAAATCAATATGCCATAATTCTTTAATCTATCATTTTCTAAACTCTTTTATGGTATCAGAGCAAAGGTTTGCTCCTTAATTTTTTTTTTTTTTTTTCAGCCACAATCTTTTATTCATGCAAGCCTATCATCTCTTTCCAATGGCCAACGAGAATACCCAAATCCCCAATACCCATGAACCCACAAAGCCACTAACCTTGATCACGATCCATAACTCCATTAAGCTCACACCAACCATCTCTCCTGGAAAACTCAAATAGAAGCCATTCTTATTGGTTATGATCTGCAAAAATTTATTAATGGGTCTCACCCTGCTCCTACACCCACCATCACTTCCAATAATATTGTTTCTCCAAATCCCAAATTCCAAACATGGCTACGTCAAGACAAACTATTATTTGGAGCACTGGTTGGCACCCTTTCACCCTCTATTGTACCTCTCATCACCCAATCTAAAACCTCCTATGAAGCCTGGAACATACTTGCCAACACTTATGCTCGACCATCTCGTGGCCATATCAAGCAACTCAAAGATCATCTTAAAAACATCATCAAAGGCTCTCAATCCATTACAGACTACATGCAGTCCATTAAAACTCGAGCTGATGAACTTGCTGCTCTTGGCAAGCCTCTTGACAATGAAGATTTGATTGAAAAAGTACTTGAAGGCCTTGATGAAAATTATCAATCCATTATTGATGTTGTCAACAGTCGTGATTCCGCCATTTCTTTTGATGAACTTCATGAAAAACTCATCAACAAAGAATTGTCTCTCCGCAATAAGACAAATCCTTCACCTATACCGGCATCTGCTCATCTCACTAATGTTCGCTCCACTCCATGGTCTGCTACCAATCGCACTCCTCGGCTGCCTGGGTCCACACCCACACCCACTCAAGGTGTCATAAGAAGTTCTCCTACCTACACTCGAGACAACCGACCTCTTGCTCGTCCATTCCTTGGTCGCTGCCAATGGTGTAATACTCAAGGTCATGTGGTCTCACGTTGTCCTCTTTTTCGATAGCAGTTTCCACATGTACAACCACCTCCCCGGCCCGGCAATTCACCTCACACTCGACCACCAACTCCATGGGAAATTCAACCACCAACTCCCTGGCAAGCTCGAGCAAATGTTGCAAGCACCATTCCTTCCAACACCACATGGCTACTTGACAGTGGAGCCTCACATCATGTCACCACCGACCTACGTAACCTTGCTCTCCACAATCCTTACGATGGCACAGATGAATTCATGATCGGTGATGGGTCTGGTGTCGGTTATTCTCCTACTCAAAGTGCCTATCTATGTCTTGACACATATACCGCTCGTCTATATACTTCCCGTCATGCTCGCTTCGTTGAGTCAATTTTTCCATTTGCCACTTCTCATCCTCGCGCTACCTCATCCACCATTTCTGAGTGGTGCTCTATATCTTTACCAGTCATGGTCACACCATCCGTCAATGCTGGCTCCGCTCTCCCATCAAATCAGCCCGCTACTACCACCCAAAATCAACCCCCAAACCCCACTCAAAATAATGTTACAACTACTCCAAATCTCGACACCCATAGTTGTGCGTTCACATCAGAACCCACTCCAACACCCGACCTCCCACCCTCACCTCGTGTCGTAGTCACTCACTCCAAACACAACATATATAAACCCATTCAAAAACTTAACCTCACCGCCCAACTCCAACAATCAATTCGTAAACCCACCACTGTTAACCAAGCCCTCAAGGATCCTAAGTGGGGATAAGCTATGTCTGAAGAATTTGATGCCTTACTACGTAATGGGACATGGGACCTAGTTCCATCTCACCCCACTCAAAATTTGGTTGGCTGTAAGTGGATCTTTTGTACTAAATATTTACATAATGGCTCTATAGACAGGTACAAAGTTCTATTGGTTGCTAAAGGCTTTCACCAACGCCCTGGAGTTGGCTACTCTGAAACCTTCAGTCCAGTGATCAAACCTACCACTGTTCGTCTTGTTCTTAGCCTTGTCGTCGGCCAGGGTTGGTCACTCAGACAACTTGATATCAACAATGCATTCCTTCAGGGCACACTCACCGAGGATGTGTTTTTGTCTCAACCTCCAGGATTCATTGATCGTGATCATCCTCATCATGTATGCAAGCTCTATGGCCTCAAACAAACACCCCGTGCCTGGTATCATGAGTTGAGCCAATTTCTTCTTCAGTCTAGCTTTACCAATTCCGTTGCTGACACCTCTTTGTTCATCTTCAATAACCTTTGCAACATCATTTATCTTCTCGTTTATGTCGATGATATCATTATAACTGGGAATAATTTTGAAGCTGCACAAACATTCATTTAACAACTTTCTCAACGTTTTTCTCTCAAAGACTTTGGCCCTCTCACCTACTTCCTTGGAGTGGAAGTCACCTCCCACAACAATTGTCTCTTCCTCAGTCAACGCAAGTACATTGCTGATCTACTCACCGAAACTTACATGACTGAAGCCAAGCATGCTCCAACACCACTAGCAACCAGTCCGGTTCTCACTTTACAATCCGGACCTCCACAGCTCCACTATCTGACCCGATCGAGTATTGAATGGTTGTCGGCAGCCTCCAGTATCTCTCTCTCACTCGACCGGATGTTGCTTATACTGTGAACAAGCTGTCTCAATTTATGCACCAACCAACCAGTGATCACTGAAATGCAGTCAAGCGTCTATTACGATATCTCTGTGGCACCTTAGATCATGGCATCACACTTAGTCGGACTTCCCCTCTAGCACTTCATGCTCTTTCAGATGCCGATTGGGCGGGCAACAAGGATGATTTCACCTCCACCGATGCACACATAGTCTATCTGGGTCACAATCCTATTTCTTGGAGCTCTAAGAAACAACGAACTGTGGCTCGCTCTTCCACCGAGGCTGAGTATAGATCGGTGGCCTCTACTATAGCAGAAATTCGTTGGATTTGTTCTCTTCTGACAGAACTAGGCATCTCTCTTCCTCAACAACCAATTATCTATTGCGACAATGTTGGTGCAACAACTCTCTGTTCCAATCCAATCTTTCACTCACGCATGAAACATGTTGATCTCGACTATCACTTCATCAGGGAACAAGTTCAAAACGGTTTGCTACGAGTGTCACACGTCTCCGCTGCTGATCAACTAGCCGACGCCCTCACGAAACCTCTTGCTCGCCCTCAATTTGACTCGCTCAAGGCCAAGATTGGAATTGCTCCACCGCCGTCCATCTTACGGGGGCATGATAACAATATAAATCAATAGTCATCAATCAAGGGATTCTCATCCAATTACAGATAGAGACAAAGAAGGAATTTACACCAGTCAAGGGATTATCATTCCATGTGTTTTCTTGTTTCCTTTTATGTGTAATCCGTTTCCATTCATATGCTTTTGAAATCTGTATATATACTCTGTGTATCAATGAATTCATTATGCCATAATTCTTTAATCTCTCCTTTTCTAACCTCCTTTATCTTGCCCATCCAAATGATAGTACTCTGAACACTCTTGACATACAAGTCCTTTTTCTAACCAGGGACGTAGTTGGGTCCCATTATTCTAACCTTCAAACCAGTTGAGACCTTCCCGGAGAACACACGACCAAAAGCAAAGAATCGACCCTTGTCAGATGCTGGAATATCTTGGATGAGCATAAGAGGACCGTCAGGATCGCAGTCCTAATTGCGCTAGCATATGCATCGTCAAGTGGACCTTCATACAAGTTTTCAACACGGTATCTTTGAGCCGTGGCGGGAGATGGAAGATGGAATACCATCATTTCAAGAAGAGCACTACTAGCAGGAAGCCATGTTTGCATAACCCGTTTCATTAACGCTTTTCCCATCAAATCTTTCTCATCGGACTTCATGGCAACTCCAAGCTTCTGCAACATTGGCCAAAGCTTATCTTTCTGATCATTCATACAAGTATTAATAATCTGCTTGAAAGGTTCATAGCAGAACTGCACGAAACCACGTTTGGACGTTGAAGAACCTGTGTTCTTGCTGGTCCATTTCTTGGTAGCAGGGCCAAAGAAATTTTCACCCCCCAGTCTTTCCATCATCTTAGCCTCATCAACACCGAATTTGGACGCATACATCTTGACAAAGTTAGTTAGAGTGAAAGCCCAGCCATGCAACCCAGCAAAAAATGCGACTGTACCTTTATCGGGGTAAACGTGTACATCTCCAAGGAGGGGATCTTCATAGGTTGCCATGATGACATTTCAGAAGAGTGGTAAGCTTCCTCTCCATCAACCTGTAGCTCAAGGAAACACCTGTCCATCTTGTTAACAGTCAAGGCTGGCTAAATTCTTTCTCCAAGGGCCTGCCTAAGTACAGTTTCGGTTTGTACGCAAACTCCTTCAACACAGTCAACGACAACAAGCGCAACATCAGTGATACGGAGTGCAGCCATCACCTCGGATGAAAAGTCAACATGCTCGGGAGAATCTATAAGATTAATGAGGTACTCATTCCCCTGTCGTCTCCCTTGAAGTTGTTCAAAGCACCATCTGACATCTCATAGTAAAGTGAGATACCAGTAGACTTGATGGTGATACCACGCTCTGCCTCATCCTGCCTCATATCTGTCATACGAACATCCCCAGCAACTTCCTGAGCAATGATACCGGCAGCTGCCACAAGAATCGTAAGAGTGGATTTTCCTATTGAAGAACCAAAAAAAAAAAAAATTAGGATGTGTAAATCAAAAGGAATGGATAATTGTAACCAAACTACATTAAAGGCAAATATAGTTATACAGTATATGATTACATTATAAAGATAATAAATCTGCCATTCAAATATTAAAATACCTAATCTTTAATGTGAAACAGAGAAGAAACTTTTACAATGCATCAAAATCAAATCTCACCTGTCCCCCCTTTTTCTCTCTATTAAGAGTTAAACGATTAAAGTTGAAACTATTTCTCAATCATCATCGCGAAATAACAGAGATGATAATTTTGAGTTTTGCAATTAACTTAATCCCACTTAAAAACATAACAATATTTTTTGAGATGTCCACATAATGCGTAATGCAGCATTAGTCTTTCCACCTTTCATGGAACAAGAGTATTTTTTATGGACTAGATTTCTTACAGTTATCAACATGTGCGATAACTGACATATTACGAATGTCATGCTTGTGGTCCATAATCCTATGAAGCTCGTCCGCTGTGAACTTCACCTGCGAGTATTGGGAATATTTAACCATCAGAAAGTGGTTACTGGCAACAAAAAGGACTACCATTTACAAGGAAAGGAATGAAGACTACTAACCATTTTTTCGGGCTTTCGGAAGCAAAGCTAAAAGAGTTTAAGGGAAGATATTATTCCAAAAATGCCTACATCCAATATGATGAAAAGTCGTAACAAAATCTCAAATAAAACATAATAAAAGTAGATCTCTTTGAATCTTCAGATCAAAGACCAAACAAGCAAGCTTATAAACCTCCATGCATGTTCCATGATCGAATCATCACTATCACAGAATCTTAATCTATAAATTTGCAGTCTAAATCCGAAGCAAGAAACAATCTCTATGCATTTCCACTATCAATTCAAAAGAAAAATATGCAATCAAATAAAGAATTAAACTACACGATAAAACAAATGTCAATATTAACTATTTGTTTCCGTTCATGTTACTAAATCCTCAAATATTCACAACCAATATTGAAAACCCATATCAGATCTATCTAGCTAAAGTATGTGGATTTATCTAGTGTTAGGTTCCGCACAAGCGACACCATAATAGCCGCAGGGGCGGATCCAAGATATTAAGCGAGCTAGGGCGGTCACTAATGACCGCAACAATAAGATTGTTTATTAATATTTAATTAAATAATTTTTAAAAAAATTCAATCGATATATTAATGCAATAAAACGTGAAAAGGTCATATATATTTGAAAATATAATCAAATACAATATAAAATAATAAGAAAAAAAATACATTTTTCAATCATATATGTACGATCAAGTTTTAATTTTTTTACGAATTCAAACGAAATAGTTTATACATAAAGCATGATTAAATGGTAAAGTCAAGCTCCGAGTTTAGGCGAAGGTTATGCAAAATTTTGCAAATAATGATTTTTAAAAGAAAAAATATTTTTCGAACTTTTAAAAGAATAAAAACAATACTTAAATTGTCCAAATTTGAATTTTATAAAATAAATTAATAAAACATAACAATAAAAATAGAGTAATATTTATTATCATAGAGTAATATTTTGAGTCGATAAATTTTTAAAAGAAATTATCTCGAAGACGAAAACTCATTGTAATGAAATATATATATTTATTTATTGTAATGAAAAATTAAACAAAAAGTAGAAAAGCAAAGAATTGAACCCTATACCTCTAGTGCATAGAATGCCCTCTTTACAACATGGGCTACCCTTTTTTTTTTGAATATTGGTACAATTATTAGTTAATATTTAGTCGTTATTTATTGTGTTTAAAAATTAAGGACCTGTTTGGTACAGATTTTTATTTTCTACAGTAAATCAATTCTCATTTTCAATCACACATTCTTCAATAAAATAATATTTTTCATTACATCAATACTTTTTTCTTCTTTTTCAACCACACATTTCCTATCATATCACTATTCAAAAATCAATTTTTGAATCTTATTTAAATTTTTTTCTTAAATCTTATTTAAATTTTTTTCCCGGAGGATCCAGCACGGGCAGCCTCCCCGACTTGCCCGATGCTGGATCCGCCCTTCACTAGTTTGGCTCGACACAACACAAGATGGGATCAAATTCAAAATCGAGTTAAATTAGCTCAAATGAATTAAATTTAATTGGTCCAACAAAAGTTTGACCTCGAACTTGTAATTGGTCAAAACTTGCGCAACGTGTACTCATTATGATAATCAAGTAGCTATATAGGAAGAGCATAATATATCACGGATGATTATAAATCTGGCCTTATACGTCGATGAAATAGCACTATTAGACACCTTGTCTTCAGTGAAAATATCATCATTTATGTCACTAGTTAAGTGAAAATATATTAAATTATTACGTGTGAGTGAATATATCATAAACATAAAGAAAGGAGAAAGTTGGAGCAAATGTTTCTTACACTATTATATTTTGTGGTAATTGGGACAAATGCCAAATGGATAAATTATTTTCAAAGTTGGTTGCTAAAAGATGTTAATAGAACAAATATATATTTCTTCATTTTTATTTATCCTTTCTTGTTTGTCTTCTTTCATATTATCATATAACAGTTGGTAAAGATAGAGTCACATTTTGTTGTAATAGTTTGGTTAAAACTCATTTCGTCCTATCAGTGAGATGAAAAATAAGGACTGAAAATGATATGTTTAAATATACAAAGAATGATATAGTTCAGGTTTATTGGAATTTGACAAATTTTATTTTCTAACGATTTGAAGAAAGTAGAATGTAGTAGTACTAGTTAGGGAACATTAACATTTTCGAGAAATCAGTATGCTCTATCTTTCGTTCTTTTTAAATCACAAACAAGTTCATTAATCACCTAGACACAAAAATAATCATTTTTTTAATCCAAATCACAACTCACAAGTGTATAATAAGTTCAAAAATAACAAATAAATGAAAAATGACTTGAATGAGAATTTAAGACTTATCAAGAGAGAAGAGATAAATAGGTGATTCGGGTAGAAATTAGCAGTCTAACAAGCAAAAGGCGATTACGGATTGGGAATCACATTTTATTCAATAGTGGCAGGTAAGCATCAAATGTTTGAAAAAAGAGAGTTAAGGTTAGGGTTTTTGAAGTTGTGGGCGTGATTTGCTGTCGTAATTTTGTTGAATTATGATTTGGATTATTGGAAATAAATGCTTTTTTTTCCATATGATTTGGGATTAATTTTAGCTTATATTAGATAACGGATAAGGACTTGTGTTGTGGACTTATAAAACCATGTCAACAATGATGAACTTAATTTACTTTATATGATTATTTCAATGGGTTAGTTGTAATTTGTATAGTTAAATTAGTATTTTTTTCTAAAAAGTGAAAACTATAAAACTTGTGAATAAAATTAATTTCTTAATTTGTATTGCTAAATTGATATTTTTCTAAAAAGTGAAAACTTTAAAACGTGTAAGTTAATAAAATTATTTTTTTAATTAAAAACGGTTCGGTTCGGTTCGGTTTTATGCGATTTTTGAAAATTGAAACCCAAGTCAAACCATTTTGAAACGGTTTGGTTCAATTTGAGGAAAAATAAATCGCGGATCCATGTGGATCCGAACTAACGGTTTCGATTCGGTTTGCGGTTTCGTGGTTTTTTTGTGCAGCCCTACCTTCAACCCTAAATTCATCTCTCG